ATATCACCATCTAATACAAGAACTGCCAAGTACTTCTATAAAAAAAAACACTTAAAAGCAAATAAAGCATGACGTAAGAACCAATTGACTCCTTTTAAGTACTTTTTAAAGGTACTAATACGGTAATAAATTTCATGGTCGAAATCATGTTTTCTAGAACAGGCTAGGCTAGAAATAGGACAAGAATAAAATCATCAATAACATGACTATCCAAACACAAATTACTGACACCATAGAGCAACTACTATACAAGACTTTGGGAAAAAACATGACACGGCATAAGATGAGAAAAGATACAGAGAACTCTAACTTACATGAATTATTAACACTGGACAGGTTACACGTGGAACTTTATCAATGTTCTGCAGTGAAAAGCATGTTTGAGAAACTATTAACAGTGGTCAAGCAAAACAAACCACTATATGATAGAATCAACAAGATACAATTTGCACCTTATATATGTCAAACCAGTATGAGTGCTTCACCGGGTACATTACTCGGAGACCTGACAGAATGGGGCTGTGCAGAACAACTGCTCTTATATTAGACAATTGAGTGGCCAAATCTAAAGTAGGGCCACTGCCAACTGATTGACCGTACAAAATAATATTTTCTGCATTGGTCCCATAATTTTCTTGAAGACATTTATAAACTGCCTCAATATCAACATAGGTGTTTTGCTCACTTGGCTGCCATAAGAGAATTGCAAATTTAGCATCACCAAAGAAATCAATATAGTGTAAATCAAAGCACATGTTACTTGAAATGATCGTGGACCTTTCCGGATGATTGGCCATATCCAGAATAATCATACCTGCAGAGATAGATCTCAAAATGAATATCTTTAAGTATTTTGATTAAGCAAATTAATGAAGATGCCAGCCTAAAATCAGAAATAAGCTTCAAATTTTGCTTTGCTTCCATAATAGTTTGCCACATAATTTAACAGGATCACAAAAATTCGCTCAAATCTAGCAGTCAATGAATGGAAAATAACCTAAAAATTTTTATGTGGTTCATGTGCAATCCAGATAATGTTGATTTTTGCTGGCACTTGCAATTTTGACTTGCACCCGTAGTAGTGCAATATTTATGCCCTCAAAAATCTTAACCTTGATAATGTTGGATCTCTAAGCACTACAAAGGGGAAGATTAAGGAGGGCAATAATTGAAATGCACCGTTTGAGCCTTGCGCATAACTTTTATATCCATTGCTAGTTATTTTCTCCTTTATCATAGTCAAATGAATCCCAAATTACCAGTTAGTAATTTGGAACATTTTCAATGCTTGCTTCTTTGTGGTACATTTTGAAGGAAAGAAACTCCAAATGTTTTAGATTCAACTCTTTCTCGGCACAAGAACTTTGGAATGATGTTAAGTTTCCTTTTCATACCTGGAAAAGGTTCTGCTGAAAGAATTCAACAAGAAAGTTAAATAATGTAATTGGCTGGTTCCCTTTAATGCCTTCTCTCTGTCATGCAGGATTCATACTGCCTAAACTGGTGGATCTTTACTGAACTTTTTCTACTGACTTGTACTTGTTTGATATTAAGGTTCCTTAAATGAATGGTTCAAGATTCCCAATCTCTTTGTTTCCATATGCATATTGGTTTGTGTTCCCAGCAGGCCATACCCCCTTGCTCTAACCCACAACTGGTCCAGACTCCTGATCCCAGACTTTCGCTCCCGATTGGCACCTGTAGCACCATCTTCTGCTAGACCTACAACACCATCTACACACTAGACTCCACCCAAGCTGAATCCATAGTTGGCTCCTCCCTGCCACCTCATGGATCCATGATATCCTTGCTACCACTTCGCAATCCATGTGTGCTAACCGATTGTACGGAACAACTATGGGATGTCTTACTGCAATTAATTTTGTGGTTATTTTTTATTACTTGATTTTTTATATTTTTCTATTAAAAGCTCTCCTATTATTGTATAAGTTTTGCACAAATATCAAAATGACATACTCAACGGATTCTTCAATTCTTGTAATGTTATCGGAGCTTTTTCCCTTCTATTCCCAAAGCTGCAGTCTGCATGATTGTATTGCCACAATCTTGCATCTTTCATCGATGCATTTCCATCCTTCCTATTTTTCTCATAGATGTAGCCTTTATTATTGCGGTTTTGTTTCTATCCGTTTTTGCAAATCAATTAGTACCATAGTTTTGCTCTTCCGGAAAAAACAATAATATTCAAATTCCATCAGGTCTTGGGTTCCTTTAGAACCAAAGCTGGTAATTCAAATCCAATTGGAGATTTAAAAAATATCAATTCAACAATTGATTGATTGGAAATAACTATCTAAATTGGTGGCAATTGGTCTACACATCCCATGTTTAAATCGTGTGTTGGCACTTTCTTTACTCAAATCAAGTCGAATTGGACACCATCAACTCATTTAAGCCCCGTCGAACTCAAATCGACTCAAACCAGATAAGACCCAATTTTAGTCCGATGCTTGCAAATTTCAGTTTATTTTAGTTTTTTTTATTGTAAATTGAATGCTATAGTTTTTTTATTTTTTTTATACTACCCTATGATGGAAAGCATCCAATATTCATGAGTAGGTAGTGCTTGGGCTTGGCAAACTTTGGGTGTGCTAGCTATTTGGGTTCCTTGGTTCTTAGGCTGCTGGTTGCTTCTCGTGTTGGGCTTGGCTACTCGGTTTTTTGGCTGTGTTTTTTAGCTACTATGTGTCAGCTCATTAATGTTGAGCTGCTGTTTTTCAGCTCATTATGATGGGCAGTTCTCTCATTTTTAGCTCATTATGTGGAGTGTATCTTGTTCTTTCCCCTTCCCTGTGGCCCTTCGATTATCCCTGCCTGGATGTCTGTTCCAGTTCCCCTGACTGCCTATTCCGGTTCCCCTGGCCGTCCATTCCTTCCCCCTTAACTACTTTTTTTGGTTTCCTGTGTGGCTCTTCGGATGTTGTTTATGGACGGATTGCTGGCGTTCTATTTCCCCTTACCTGATTGGTTCAATTGGAGGTGGTTTGGTTGTTTGGCTGCCCCCTTTTCTCCTATAAAATTGAGGTGTTTTGAAGTATGAAAGGTTGTTAATTATTTGAGCAAAGTCTCTAAAAAAAATCTAAGGGTTTCTTCCTTGGAAAAGCTTGAGAGCTTATTCCATTTCTCTCTTCCTCTCTACAATTTCGTCTTGGGCTTCTTATCTCCTTCTTCTCTCCGCAAGTTTCACTCCACTTGTATCTTTCTTCTTGAGTTATTGCAGTTGTTGGTTGGCTGATTTGGGAGCATTTGCCGGAGAAGTTTTGGTGGACGTTGGACCTTGTAGCTGTGGTGGACCCTTGGTTTGCATGCCCTTAAGGCCTTAAGCACTACTTTTATATTGCCTACTATTTCGTTGTAAGTGAGGAAACTGCTTGCTGGTTGGTTCTGAGGGTGGTGGTTTTTATTTTTAATTTTGTTTCGTTTGTTTGGCTTTCATTTGTTTTTAAAGTTTGTTTGGATGTTGGTATTCTAAATGTTGAATCGAGTCATGTTCTACTAGTCCTGGTGTTCTTTTCTCTTGGCTCTTCCTATCTAGTTGCCCGCATCATAGTCTAATTAAGCTCAATTTCATCAAATTAAATAAAATCGATTGGTGAAATCTGACTAATCTCGAGCCCAATTGGACTCAAAATAAGTCCAATTGAACTCAAATCAACTCCCAAATAAAAAAATCTAATTCAATGGCTATGATTGCCCCCAATCTTCAAACCTCTGTTGTTGTTTTCCCGTCAAGTCCAGGGATTTCTACGGCTATAGCAAAGATTGAGTGTCAGATAAACATATCGACCAGAGGAGGCTTTGTTGACAAATATTTTCGTGTCGACACGATCCCGATCTCGTACTCGATCGATCCGATCGAATGCAGTCGAAGCAAAATTGACCCAAATCAACCCCATATTTAATTAAATTAAATTCGAATCAAATCCAATCAAGCCTCGTCGAGCGCAATTCGATGCTGATTCAAGTTTAATTTTGCAAAATTAACTTGATCGGACCCAAACCGACCAAAATTGGTTTGAGTTGGGTCCAATTTGGGCTCAATTTCAACCCTAATTGATTGATTTGGGCTAAATTAAATACCTAAATCTGAAATTGAAATGAACGGATCAGATTTCATGTAAAATCCTGTTCAAATTCTTCGTTTCCCTCAATGACGACTCTGATTGGGTCCTTTGGGCGGCGGAGCCAGCTGGCCTTGCGGTCTCTAAGAGAATGAAAAGGAGAGTAAGCTCTCCCATGCATTTCTTTGGTTCGTCCGTCCCAGATAAAGCGGAGAAGGGAGAGAGAGCCTTCGGCTCCCCTTGCTTGCGTGCGTGCGCCCGGAGCAAGGAAGAAGAGAGGGAAAGGGAAAGAGCCATTCGGCTCTAGCTTCAGGCGTCCAACCCCTTCAACTCGCCAAGCCTAGCTTGCCTTCTTGCGTGTGACCTAGCCAAGAGGGAGGGCCGGCCAAGTCTCTTACTCCTTGCATGCATTTCTGGGAGCCGAAACTAAAAGAAGAGGAGATTATGTACTCCCTTGCTGCTATTTTCTTCTTTCTTGTACCAAAAGAGGAAAGTTTCTCTCTATTTTCCTCCATTTCTCCAAGTGGAAAAGCATAGACCTACTCTTTTCCTTCTCTTGAGCAAAAAGGGAAGTGTAGGAGTATAGTGGAGGCACTTGGAGGTTGTCTACTCGCTGTGGAGACTTCTTCTCACTTTTCCTTCATCTCCGGCGACCTCTTGATGGTAAAATCAGCATCCGGAAGCCTTCAAACACTGAAGACAACAGTTTCGTACTGTCTTTGACAGCACATTTATCTTCCGGAGGGCTTGGACAGAAGCTTGGAGCCTTCGAAAGGGCTTGGACAACAGCTTGGAGCCTTTGAAACGCCTTGGACGGCAGCTTGGAGTCTTCAAAAGAGCTTGGACATCACTTGGAGCTTGGATTGGAGCGCTTGGACAGCCCGGGTGAGGTAAAATCCTAAAATTTAGTGAGACTTAGGGTCCCCCCAAGGCCAATGGTTGTGTGGTTGACGTCCCCGAGCCCTAGGTCCTTAAAAACTTAAATTTTTGCTCCCCCGAAATCCCATGCTTGTTGTCCTCTTTGTAAACTTGGGAAAATCCGGTGATTTTTGCCAAATTACTCTCATGTGAGAGTCAAAAGGAAATGTCAACATGTGTGGGGTGTGGATTGGTATCCAACGCTCTCCAAATGCATGATTTTGCTCTCATATCACATGCTTAGCCTTCGCATACAAATTGACTATAGGATTTGATGATCTTTTTCTATCCCAAAAAATGAATGTTGAAACGTAGGACTCATTGCATTGTAGTTTGTGTCTCTTTCCCTCAATGCTAATGTCATGGCAAAATTGACATAGAATTTAGGAGTTTGTAGTTGCCAAACTTGTAATTTTCTCTATGGCTTGGTTAGATGCCCAAATGCATTTGATAACTTGTTGTAGAATTTTATTTAACTCTTAAAGGTTCATTTTACAAATCCTAGAGCGAGTAGGGTTGATCAAACTCATTTTGGGTGTTGCGAAGCTTGTAAAGAAAGTAAAAAGTGAGCATTCGCTCTATTGTATGAAATCCCTAAGATTGGAAAACCATCGTTGTGCTTTAGTAAACTAATTAATGACAAAATTGATTGGATTGTTCTTAGAAGCTTTAGGTGTGCTTTCCTGCCTTAACCTGAGCCAAAATCATGTTTCCTAGGTCTCTTGCTAGGATCACTAAGCTTACAAATTTTCTGGATCATGCAAAAATTGATTTAGAAACCTCTCCAAAGCCTTAGGAAATCGATCTTTCCTCCTCGAATTGAGTCCAAAAAACTCTAAAAGACGAAGGAAAATTCCTTTCAAGTGCGCGTCTCCTCTTTCCATGAATCCCAAACATCCATGGAGGAATGGGAAAATTCTCTTACTCATGCATATCCCCCTTCAAATTTGGTGCTTTGAGCTCCCTCAAAGCTCCAAGTTTTATATTGCATGGGTTCTAACAAATATAAAGAGCTTGCTTTCAAGCACTATTTTCCCTTCATGTGTAATACTTTGGAGCCTCCTCAGGGCTCTAAATAATGCATTACATGAAACATCAAGACTTTAGGACCAAATCCCAAATCATTCCCCTTTTGTTGAGACAAAAATCAACAAACATACACACCTCCATATGTGATATTTTGGAGACTCTCTAAGCTCCAAATGTCCCATTACATTAAGCATTAAGGATTTAGGAACAAATCCTAAATGCCCCTTTCATTTGCTAATAATACAAAGTTAGCAAATGAACATGTCTCTACTCTCATATATAGTGATTTGAAATTCTCTAAAATCCCAACATATCATTATATGAAGATTTTGAAGCTTAGAGCCAATTTCTAAGCTCCCTCTCTCATTCGTCTGAAACACAAAGATCAACAAATGAATATCCTCCTTAGGCTCAAAATTCAAATCTTAGCCTATCTTATTTGCCTAACCTACACAGGTAGATGATCTTGCATCATTAAGTATAAAAATTGATAATTGCTTCTCAATTTATAGTTCCAAAACTACAAATTGTGTCTCTTATGCATGATATTTGGAGCACCTCAAAGCTTCAAACATATCATTGCATGAATTCTTTGAAACTTGGAACTAACTTCCAAGTTCTTCCACCTTGTTTGTGACATAAAACCAACACATATCCTTCCATGTATGATAATTTGGAGTCTCCAAGAGCTCCAACCAATATCATTACATGATGGTTAAATCTTAGAAACAAATTCTAAGTCACACACCTCTTGTTTGTTGAGACAAAATCAACAAAAAATTTTCTTTCCCTTTCGTGCATGACCTTTGAAGCCTCTTCAAAGTTTCAAATACTTCATTGCATGTCTCCTAGCCTGTCATAGGAGCTATCACCCATCTTCGTCATGCATTGTGTTATGGATCTCTTTAAAATCCCAAATACATCATGTCATAGATTTTTGAACTTAGAACCAAACTCTAGTTATTTCTTCCAATTTATTTGAACCTAAGGTTAACGATTGAACATCACGCTTAGGCTTCGGAACTAAGTCCTAGTCTTCCTTCTACATTCACCTAATTTAAACTGGGTGAATGATCCTCTCTCTTTGAATACCAAATATTCAAAGAATATTCATAAAATTTTGTAACTCTCAAGTTACATATCCTTTCTTCAACCCCAAAATTGCAGGGAGTTTATCAAATTACTTATTCATTGGAACACAAAATCAATGAATGATCTCTTAGTCTTAGGATTCAAATCCTAATTCCCCTTCTTCTAAAACTTAAAACTTGATGCAAACAAAAAAAAAAACTAAAGCCTACTAGGTATGCAAATAATCGCTTACTTTCCAAATAACTTAAATAAACACAACAATAATAAAAAATATGACAAAATAAACTTAAACAAGACACAATGACACCTTACAAATTTTTGTAGTTTGAAAATAAAGATACAATGGGGAGTAAACT